GGGCTACCAAGTGAGCTCCAGGAAAGGCGCAAAGCTACGCAGAGAAACCCTGTCTCGAAAAACCAAAAAAAAAAAAAAAAAAAAAAAAAAAGAATATAAAGTACTTGAAGATATAACCCTGCCACTGCTCTGTATTCTCTAAACCTTGTAATACCACAGTGTTAAACATTATCTACACAGTAACAGGAGCAACTATCACCACATGCTGAGATCTTATGTGTCAATCACTATGTAGTAACTGCATACATTATCTTGACTAATATTTGTAAACCCCCAGGAACTGGTTGTATTGTGTCCATTTTGCATATGATTTATATTGATAAAGGTCTAGTGAGTGTTACATAGTTGTTTCAAGGAAGAACTACTGGGATTTGAACTTGTATTTACAGTATTAAATGATTCCAACCTTAACACTACTGTATTCAGCCAGTCATTACTGTAAATATTACTTGAATGAATTCTTTGTGTTATGCTATCAAACTTCCAGATATGGATTGGCTTAGATATGTCATACATTCACCAAATATATTTGGGTACCTCTGTGACATTTTTGAAATAAACATTGACATTGGGCAAAGAAGTAGTACTCACCATTCCCTATTTTAATAACTATAAAATTAATCCAAACTATTTTAATATTTATTTATTTATTGTGAATGTTCGTGGGCACATACCTGCCACAGCACACTGGTGGAGATGAGAGTATAACTTGTAGGAGTTGGTTCTTGCCTTCTTCTGTATGCCTTCCAGGAATCAATCTAAGTGATCATGGTTGATGGCAAATGCCTTTGCCCACTGAGTCACTTTGCTGGTCTCTGTTATAGTATCTAGTTCCTACTAATATGTTGCTCTAAAATAAAGCAACTAGATGATCTCTTGGTAAGGAAAATACTTTTGTTTGAATGTTAGGTTAAAATTCCAAATATCTGAGTGTTTGGTGACTCATGTGAACATGATAGACATGGAGATGCAGAGATGAACATAAGTGATAATGCTGGGAAAGGTGGTGTTGCTGTTCTCCACGATGAATCAAGGCAATACCAGAGCATTTGCAATTAGTGGGATTAATTACCAAGATGAATGAACTGTTTCCAGATAGCCTGCCAGCAGCATGAGATATGTATACCAATTTGCCCCACTCATATCCTCCGCTAAGGAGACCATTTGCCTGGTGGCCTCATTCTACACAGTTGTGCTCAGTGCTCTGCCATGTGGTCACTTCTTGCTTGAGATCTGTCCATCATAGGATAGACTGTTGACTCAAAGACAGCCAGCCATTCTATAACTTGGTTGTCCATCTTTATAAAGTGTATTAAAATAATCATCTCAGCCAATCAGATTCCTTCCTTGGAAATTTGGCATTGGAAAACTAAGCTAAGCTAGTTGTCAGAGCCTGAGAGGATGTTATGAACCATGTACAAACTAGGAACGCTGATGAAGAAGGAGGGTGGGACCACTCATGGAAAGAAAGCACCTAGTCTTGGAGCTGCCCTCAGTTCTGGCTGTCTCCGTTCCTGGGCCCTAGTTATCCATGCAGGGATTTCTTCTACCCAATCAATCTCTTACCACTACAAACACTGTAAGTGTACCTGTGTTTCTTTTGAGCAAACGAAATTAGCTGGATCAATCTTCCTTCTTTCCCATTTCTGACACCCCTACAGAAGAACCAGTTCTCACTGGTAAAAGGTTATAAAAGTAAGATATTCCAAGAGAAAGAACTAGAACCTAGTGGGCTGGAAGGCCCCATGTTAGTTTTTACACATTAAAAACTTGTTACAGTTTCATTAAGAAAGTATGGTGTGTAAACCCTCAAGCCTCTTAGAACCTGTTTTTGTTCCTTAATGAGCAGTGAGCAGTAATCTATTACCCATAGTGCCTCTCTCTCCAGGCTCAAGGTTAAAGTGGTTCTCATGCCTCTTCTGTTAAGTGCCTGAAAAGAAAATGTTGAGGCAAATGCTTTTGCCCTTTCCACTCATTATCCTTTATTCAGACTTAATGCCTGGGGATCCAGTCCAATGATTTTCTACAGTTTATGAGTCCCAAGCTTAAAAAAAAATGTAAAGACAAACAAAAATCTGTTAAACTTCTCCAAAAGTGTCTGAAATTTCAGTAGTCAAGAAAAAAGACAAAGTGATTGAGAGTCCTGTGTGTCAGGCTGTGGGTTAGTCAGGGCTGTGGTATTCCCCCGGGGTGTGAAGAGACCCAGGAGGTCACTCTGCATTGCAAACACAAATGTGTGGAGAGGTTTTCATTAGACTCAGTTTTCCTGAGTGGACTGTGCCTGAACAACTAACTGTCCTGTTTCTCTAGAACCAACCACTAGCAACTATGGAGTGGTTTGAATGATAATCAGAAGCAGTCAGATTCATTTCTTGGGCACTCAGCCTTGGTACACTGAGACACTACGCTGGTTATCAGTGAAGTCGGAGTGTGAGGGAATGTCACAAACTGTATACAAGCTAGGCCTGAATCGGAGCAGGTGGAGATAACAGGCAGGTGCTGGCCCGGAAAGGAAGAGGAGGCCCTCTGTGGGAAAAGCCGTTTGAGCTGGGATTTTCTGCTCTTCTTCCTGCACCACTTTCCTCGTCCTTCCTTGAGAGTCTCCGTCTTTCCCTCTCCTGGGAAAGACTTTCTACTGGGCTCATTCGAGGCCCCCCAGCCCTCACACCCTTCTCACTGCCTTTTGTGGGATAGTTCTCCAGCTTTGTTACGCCTTTGGAAATAAAGGAATCTTCACTTGGTGGTAGTCTTCTTCTTCGTGGATCAGGTGAAGCAAAGAAAATGGTCTTCCTGGTGATCTTAGCATGGTGGCCACCGGCCCAGCAGCTGGGGAGATGGCACTATTGCTTTATCATAGGGACAAGAATGGACACTTTGGGCTTTCTATTTCTCATTAAAGATGCTGACACCTAGAGATTCTCCAATCTGCAGGGAACGGAAATGCCCAGTACTAGAATCCTATGGAGACACTTTTTGTTACACAGTGTAGCTTCAGTTGTGACCTGAAATGGATTGCCTAAGGGTAAAACTAAACATTCTTTTTCTCTTTATATCTTCTCCAATACTATATAAGCTAATCACTGTTTAACACCTCTTTAAACTTCATCTTGTAGTGTT